ACACCAGGATCTTAAATAACATTGTTTCATTCAACATTGTTTATATCAATTAGCCTATGGTAAGGTTCGTTTCCTTATGCATCATTTTGCATAAAGTCACAGAACCTATAGACCAGGGGTCCTCAAACTTTTTAAACAGGGGGCCAGTTCACTGTCCCTCAGACCGTTGGAGGGCCGGACTATAGTTTAAAAAAAAACTATGAACAAATTCCTATGCACACAGCAGTGGCAAAAACACCCGGCGGGCCGGATAAATGTTTTCAGCGGGCCGCATGTGGCCCGCGGGCCGTAGTTTGAGGACCCCTGCTATAGACCATGTTAAATGAGGACTTACTGTATTTCCATTTTTAAAAAAATATATTTTTATTTATTTCAGAGAGGAAGGGAAAGGGAGAGAGAGAGAGACAGAAACATCAATGATGAGAGAGAATCATTGATAGGCTGCCTCCTGTACACGCCACACTGGGGATCGAGCCCGAAACCCAGGCATGTGCCCTGACGGGGAATCAAACTGTGACCTCCTGGTTCATAGGTCGATGCTCAACCACGGAGCCACACCGGCCAGGATGTATTTCCATTTTTTCACAAAGAAGGAAACAGAGTGGAGTGACTTGGTCAAAGTCACACAGCTGAGAGTGGTTTTATTCCCCCACGTGTGACTCCTAAACCATGGTGGGGAAGGGTAAACAAAGTAACAGAAACCGCAGGACACAAACCATCCACTGGTGGAGGTAGGACCTCCCCAGAAACCAGGCTGCTCAGAGAAGCCCAGCGATTTTCCCAGGATCACCATTTAGTACTAGCAATTGTCTGTCCCCCAACCGCAGTAATACACTTGTGCCACTCTCCAGGCCAGGAAACTAAAGAAACAAACAAAACTCCCTGTAGTGCCAAGCACATTCGGAAATCCTAGAGACATCCAGGCCAAAAAAAGAGCTACTCCGTGGTGTTAGAGAAGAAAGCGTCTCCATAGTCCCTCCTGGACCTCAATTTTCCCCTCCTGTAAAATGGGACTACAGCATAGCTCATATTTTGCTAGTTTAGTCCGGAGGACTCAGAGAAAAGGCAAAACCCGAGCCTGGAATCTAATAGGTGCTTTATAAGATATCCATTGGCGGGGGGGGGGCAAGGGGTATGGGGGAGGCGAATGGTCAGATTAGGCCCAGCCGTATTCCTAGCCTCACTGCAAAGGGAGTCCCCGCGAAACAAACTTTTGAGACCTCAGACCACCTAGTCGGGCACAGCCTAATCCGCGCTTGATTTGGGAGCTACGGCCAGGGTTTTCGCCTCTCCCCGGAGCTTTGGCCGCCGCCGCCGGCCGCGTACCCGGTAGCCGGCCAAGGCCCGGAAGCAACCGCGCCCCCTTCCAAATTGGGGTGCAGGTGGGGCGGGGGACCAGGTCAACCTTCGTTGGCCAGCTCCAGGTGCCCCGCTCCCCGCGCTGGGGGGCTGGAGCGGGAACGCATCCCACCTAGAAAGAGCCGTCCGCCCGCCGCCCCAGCCCGGAGGAGGGCATCTTCGGCGGGGGGCGGGGAGGAGGGCATCTTCGGCGGGGGGCGGGGAGGAGGAGCGGTCGGGCCGCTGCGGCGGAGATTTGCCCGGACTTGACGACTCCCCCGACCGGAGCCCAAACCCCAGGCAGCCTCGAGGAGGCTCTGCTTTCATTGGCCAGGAGTCCGAGGAGCCAGGAGGGCTCCACAAGCCCAGGGGGAAGGGGTGGGGCGAAGAGGGTCGAGGTTGCCAGTTGATGCAACCCCACTCCAGGTTTACGCGCTCCACTCCTCCTTCCCGAGGCGGGGGTGGAGGAAATGGGGGGGGGGGCTGCGCACCGGCTCAGCCCAGGCTAGCCCGGAGCTCGGACGAGGCTCGGGGTTCAAGGGAAAAGTGGCGCGGCTCGGCCGCTGCTTACCTCTCCGGCCCCCGGGCTGCTGCTGCTGCTGCTGCTGCCGCCGCCGCCGCCGCCGCCCCGGGAGAACGGCAGGTAGCCCTTCAGCTCCGTGCGGCATTCAGAGTCCGCAACGATCATGGTGTGCGCCAGGACCCAGGCGCGGCTGGCCGCCGACCCGGGCACCGGAGGGGTTTGTGGCCGGACGCCCGCAGGAAGCCGGGACCGGGGGCCGCTGGGGAGGTTCTAGAAGCCGGGGTGTCTCTCCGGGCTCCAGACGCTCCCAAAGCCCAGAGTCCAGGAACGGCCGCTGCCTCGCCGGACTCTCCTCGCGCCGGGCTTCTGGAGCGGCGAGTGGACTCGGAAGCCTAGGGTTGGCCGCGGCGCGCGGGTCTTCAGGGCCTGGGACGCCTCTGAAGTCCTCAGTGGCGAGAGCTGCTGGCGGACACCGCGCTGCTCGGCATCCCCGCCGCGGAACTGCCAGCTTTCGCAGGGCTCTGACACCAGCAGCGCCTCCAGCCCGCTGCGGTCCCCGGGGGAGGGCGGGGACACAAAAGCCTCACGCCGCAGCCAATCAGATGCCTGTTTCCTAGGGAGGCGGGGCGACACCCTCCTCAGGAGCCGGCGGCTCAGCCAATCCACGCCGGGAAGCGCCCGGGAACTCTGGGAGCTGTAGTCAGCCCCGCACGAATGCTGCAAACTTTTGCAAAAGGATTTAGTCAGATTGTTGACAACACCGGACGAGAGTGACAGCCTGGGGAGTCATTACGGCTGCGTGATGAAACGGGCCTTCACCGGGCTGGGCCGCAGAGCCAGGTGTGAAATCCCTCCCACGTGCGTTCTTCAGCTTTGCAGTTCCTGGAGGGACGGGTTGGGGTTCGGAGAGGTGGTGCTAATTATAGAGCCAGACCTGGGCACGCCCCTGTTCCCCTGGTCTCCGGGAGGGCTCCACCCTTAAAATGTATCAGACACCAAGAATCCACCTTATTTGTAGAGCCCCTGGGAAAGCCTTCATTCTTTGAAATGTCCTTGGCAACCCCCAGGCTAACTTCAGTCCCTATTGCTGCAGGTGTCCCCCGACTGCTCCTTTGAGTTTCCATCCCTGCCACCCCTTTCTAGAAACTTTGTGATAAGGCTGTCCACTGGATCTCTCCCACCTCTCTGGCCACTCCTTCTCTGACTCCTCTTTATCCTTCCACCCCCTGGAACGTGGTGTTTCCCTAGTTTGTTTTTATCCCTCATCTATCCAGACATAGACTCCGTCCTTGATCTCATTCCTTTCCTGGCCTTCGACTCTCCCTTTGGGAGGAAGTCTCTTCCACCAGCCCCTCAGCACCTGTAAACTGATTTAATCTGCGGTCCCCTTCCCGCAGATTCTCTTCCTTCACAGTTTTTCTTCAGTGCTCCACTTTTTTTCGTTTCAATTTTAAAGCCATTGTTAACTCTGAATAGAGAATCATGGCTGGAGTGAGGGCGGACTAAATGACCCACAAGGTCCCCTTTGAAACTTCCAAGTCTAGGCTTATGATTCCAAAGATGACCCTCATGACTTGGTCTCCTGCCTCCAACTTCTTGGGAGAAGGAAATTAATCTCACCCTCTGCTGAGCTCCCAGGGCACTTGATTTGGATCTCCTTTATAAGACCTATCACTTTCTACCTTGTATTATAATTTTCTGTGTGCAGGTCTTATCTGACTCTTTTGATTATGAGTTATTTGAAGGTAGGGTCCACATCTTGACATCTTTGTCTTCTGCCACATGCCACTTAGCCCAATGTCCTGGCCTTCAAGCCTTTCTTCCATAAATTCCCTCTGCAAATCTCTGCCTACTGAAATCCTACCCAGCATTCAATGTCTTCATTCATGTTTGTGGCCTGAATGAAGGCTTTGAAATGCCACTTCCTACAGAAAACATTGCTTCTTCAGCTCAGCTCAAAGTCCTCTCTCCCACTCTTCAACACATTGTTTCTACCTCTTTATGGCCTTCAACATGATGCAGCCTTGTTATGTCTACATACTTTACTGCTTCTCTCTAACAAACAATGGAATATGTTATTGACCACTTTTGCAAAGGGAAGAAACTTGAGCTTACTTAGAAAGGTAAAACTTCACATCAGGGTCATACAATATCTTCTTTTGACTGTACCAGGCTGTGCCAGAGCTCCTTTATTTATTTATTTTTAATATATCCTATATAATAAAAGGTGAATAATATGCAAATTGACCAAACTGCAGAACAACTGGTTGCTATGATGCACACTGACCACTAGGGGGCAGGCTCTCAACACAGGAGCTGCCCCCTGCTGGTCAGTGTGCTCCCACAGGGGGAGTGCTGCTCAGCCAGAAGCCGGGCTCACAGCTGGCATGCCAGCTGCAGTGGCAGGGCTCTCGGACTGTGAGAGGGCTCCTGGACTGCAAATCTCGTGCACTGGACCTCTAGTATTTTTATATATTTCAGAGAGGAAGAGAAAGGGAGAGAGACAGAAACATTAGCTATGAGAGAGAATCATTAATCGGCTGCCTCCTGCATGCCCCCCACTGGGGATGGAGCCCACAACCCGGGCATGTGCCCTGACCGGGAATTAAACCCTAACCTCCTGGTTAATAGGTCAACGCTCAACCACTGAGCCAGGCTGGCTGGGCTGTCAAAGCTCCTTTAAAGCAGGAACTGTGCCCAGTTGTGTCTGTATCCCCCACTACCATGTAGTGATTCCTCAGTAAATATTTTTGAGTGAGTCAATATGAATACTTTCCTCTGTAGAATAACCCTTTAGAATCTTCAAGGGACTAAATTTTTTCAAGGTTTCGCTTACAAAGTTAGTGATTTTGTGAAAAGAAAAGGCAATACTGATATACTAAATTGCATGAGCTTTTGAGTTAGTGATTTTGTGAAAAGAAAAGGCAATACTGATATACTAAATTGCATGAGCTTTTGTGACCCAGTCTCTAAGGAAGGAAAAGCTCAAAAGAGGCACAGATACTACATTTTGCTGAACTCCAACAACAGTCCCGGATACATCTGTTATCTCCTGTAACTCTCACTACAGCCTGGTGAGGTAGGCATTATTCCCCCATTTGACAAATGAGGAAACTGAGGTTTAGGAGGTGTGTTGGCCATGGTCTGAGTTTGGTAAAATGTTGAGTAAGGGTTCAAATTCAGGCAGGAATGACTCTACAGCAGAAACTCCACTGTACCACTAATGAGAGAAGAAGCTGAGTGTGTATGTAAGAAGCAGGCTAGCACAAGGAACTAATGCATAAAGCAGAATTCCAATTAACTGGGAGTGAGAAACACAGTGATCAGGTGGCCTATAACAGATGGGCCAGACATGCCTTTTGATAAGAGAGCCTCCATGAAAAGCCAAGTTATCTTCTGAAGGTGGTTAGGGCAGCTGGAATCTGAGCCAAAAGGAACCAATGAAAATATAAGTCACTGAACTGGCTCCATGCAGAGCAAACCTGCTGGTCAGTGTTCTGGATTCTTCCTTTTTTCTTTCATTCAGTAAATATTTATTGACTATCTAGTACGCACCAGACACTGTCCTGGGCTCTGGATATCCAGCCAGTAAAGCTTCCAGTTCAGTGGGTCATGGCCCAGTGCCTCTGGCTGAGTTTATTTCTCCCCTCCCCTATGTCTAGTAGTTTGGGTTCAGTAAGGACCTCTACTTCCTGTTGCCATACTCTCTGTACTCTTGCATCAGCCATGCTGAGGCCACTGATTGACCAAAGTTTTATTATTCCTCAATCACATTCCAGTCCTGAAGCTACTGTCTACATTGCATTTGAAATGTTTTTGGTTTCCTCCTCTTCAGACCCTCTCTCAGATTTTAACTCTAATGGAAGTCTCTTCTGTTTTGTATTCATTCTTTCTGAATTAATTTTATAATCCCAAAGTATTTGCTAGAATGACTTATCACCCATATGTAATTTTCTAAACTCTTCTCATTGTTCTCAACACACTCCCCCCTACCATCTCAGAATACAATTCCTGCCTTGGGGGAGCTTTCAGGAAAAAAAGCCCAACTCCTTCAGGTTTAATAAAGCCAAAGCGGACTCCCCCTCTGTGGCTCATTCACACATTCATCCATTCAATCACTCATTAAGCAGTCATTGTGGTAGATGCTGAGGGAGGTCCTCCTGCGCTGACAGGTGCTGAGCTGAGGAGCTACACAATTAAAATTGAAATTGTCCCCTGGAGTTGTGCACCAGGAGGCAGAACAAACAGACTCTGAATCCGAGCCAACTATCTCTTAGGAGCACCGCCCAGGAGTCCTAGTTTTTAACTATATGACTGAAAGAGAATTCTTTTTTCAGCTCTTAGAACCTGTTTTCTCATCTGTAAAACAAAGGAATTGGAAATTAGCTCTAGCCACTGTGGAGAGGAATAGGCAATGCATATAATTCGGTTTAATTGATTATATACTGGGGACAGAAACCAGGTTTCAAAAAACTCACCGCTCTTAATAAAAACAAATCAAATACAAAAACTGACCAGCTGGGTGCTTTTGGATAATTCACTAAGAATTTAGGTTGGCTTTGTCGGCTGAATGAGTCCTTAGCGCCCCCTACAGGCAGGAACGGACTGGGAAGAAGGGTGGATTGAGGTGCCCCACACCATTTTGAGTTTATAGGATTGTCAGGTCCCATATCACAGCCTGAAGGTCCTGGAAAGTGGCCAGGCAACAGCTAAGTAAAGATCGTGTGGATGCTGAAAATTCCCTGCTTCCAGGAGGGACCAGACCAGACTCCCCAAGTACCTTCCAGTCTGAATGCACTTCCCATTGTTTTGGCTCACTCCTGCATTTTACAGGCAGGAAGCCTGAAGTCCAGAGAGAATCATTCATTTGCCCAAGGTCCTCAGAAAGTTGGTCACAGAATGGAGACTAGAACCTTGGGGTCCAGACCTCCAAGTCCAGGGCCACCGACAAAGGCTGCCCCAGGAGTGACACCTTTCCAGGAAGAACAATTCTCTTTGTTCTGGTGTCTTCCTCTATTTCCCCCTCTCCACTTCTAGAGGACCTACATCCACTTCTCAAACACCCCGAGGCTGTCCCTGGAGCAAGGCCCTGGCTCTTATCACCATCCTGGCCCATCTCTTCCTACCTTTAAGATTTCCCTCCTCTCCTCCCCCCAAAAAGTTGCACCTGGATTAGGATAGCAGAGCTGAAGGTTTCTAGCTGTGTGAACCTAGGCAAGTCACACCACCTCTCTGAACGTGTTTCCTGTGTAAAATGGGGCAATAAAGTTTACCTCCACTGGGGCTGTTGTGAGGATGAGCGCTAATGCATACAAATCCCTTAACAAGGCTTGGTGCAGATCAAGTGCTCAATAAACTGTAATTATTATTATTATTTGTATTGTTGCTGTTATTTTAAAGTACCTAACTTAGTGCAGAAAGACAACGGGTGTTCAAGAAAGATGATTATAACCATTAATATTCAAGAGTTTGAAGCACGGAGCCTTGGCATTGAGCAGGAACTGAATACATAAACGGTGGTTAGTACTCTTGCTTTTTTCACCCAAAGGCTCCCAGTACGTTGGCAG